AAAACAAGATTCTATAATTATTTAGAAGAAATAGAAATAAATACTCATTTTTCCCATGGTTAGAACAATATTGTTTAAAAAATAATATAGAATATTTTTACACAAAACAAATAAATCCTCTACAAAAAATCTCTAAGACATGAAAAACTACATTAGGAAAAATATTAGAATCAGAATATCCTCCGATAGAACAAATTAAATTAAAAATAGAAAATGAAGAAGTAGAAGCAAGTCCATTTAAAAAGACAAATTCAAATGATAAGACTGTAGATAAAATAGATATCAATAAAATACATCAGCAATTAAATTATTTTAATACAGTATTAGAAGTCATGACCAAATATTTAACAAGAATAGAGCAAAAAGAAGAAGGGAGTAGTAGTTCAAAATCTAATAACAAAATTTTTAGTTATTTCAAAAAACTAATGTATAAAATTGTTAGATTATTTTAATATTCTTATTATTGTGGCCTATGTAACTTATAGCATGATTCTAATTAATGATTTAATGTGATGGTGATTAAATATAAAATATAGAATCATAGAGGGTATAATTGTAAATACAATTATAAGGAAACTCTCCTCACTCCCTTCAGATAAATAAAAGAGCGGTTACCAAATAAGGGTTACAACATTCTCTATTTTCTATCACTTTCACGGTCTCTAAGTGTGCTCACAGTAAAGACAAGAAAGGAACTTTCTCTCAACCATCCGAGAAGAGCTAAAAGAGGAAGGAAGAGTTGCGGAAGATATAAATGGATCAACGACATCAAAGAGAGAGTAACATCAAGGAACAATGGATTCAGATTAGTGCTCTCTAAACCCTTAATTGTTTGAGAACCATGTATTGTATTGTGAGAACAACGTAATTAAAGATCTGGAGGGAAATGGTAATTTTATAATAGGTATTTTACATAATGAAAATTACACAATGGATTAAGAAAATTCTAACAAAAATAACTACTTTTTCACCAAAAACCCTGAAAGAATTTGAACAAAAAAGAGGTCTAGAATTAGATATAGAAGAATTAAAACAAAAAAATATCAAATCTAAGTATAGAAAAACCTTCAATAAATGTTATAGAAATCAAATCAAATATAAACAAAATAAATTTTAGCAATAGTTATAAAAAAATTAAGCTCTATTATAATAGACCAACATTACCAGATGTTTTATTAGAATAAAGACCCAATTTTGTACAAAACTCTTACGCAGGAAGTGATATAGTAGAATGGAATCTAGATGCCTTAAGTGAACAAGCTATTACATATTTAACACAACAAATGATAATGACAGCAATTGCCTATAAATTGAAAAAACTATAAGATAGAGCTACGGCAGAAGCTTTAATACAAGGGTTTACAGGACAATTGAGAGGATGGTGAGATAATCATGTTAGTCCTATTGATAAAGAATTTATTTTATCTCATGTAAAACAAGAAGATCAAGAATCAGATGTAGTAATAACAATAACTTTTAGTATAATACAAAACTTTATAGGAGATCCTACATTATTAAAGAAAGAGCAAGAATACAATTACCAATCTTAAGATGTCCCACTATGTCAAATTATCAATGGTATAAAGATATATATATTTTTTTTCAAAAGTAATGATTAGAGAAGATGCAACAGCTCCTTATTGGAAAGAAAGGTTTATCACTGCTTTACCAACTCTATTTAGTAAAAAAGTATTAGAAAACTTAGAAGTTAGATCAGACGGAAGAATAAACTATGAAACATTAACCCTTGGACAAATACATAATATAATAGTAGATACAAGACTAAAAGTTTGTAATGATGCTAAATTACAAAATCAAATAAGAAAACAAAATTTAACAAATAAGAGAGAATTAAGAATCGTTTGTAAACAATACGAAATTGAGTCTATACAAGCTCCTAGTAGAAAATATAAAAGACAAATAAAGAAACAAAATAAAATTCAGAATAATAATAAGAAGAAAATATACATGACTCCCTCTAATAATCAAAATAAAGGTCAAGAAAACAAAAATAAAAACAAATTTTTAGGAAATTGTTGGAAATATGAGAAATATGGACATCATGTTGAAAATTATAAAGTAGAACAAAAAATTAATTCCTTAGAAAACTTAGAATTAAAACAAGTATTAACTACAGTACTAAATAGTCCTGAACTAGAGGAATCAGATAATGAAATTTCTAATGAAGAAAACACAATAAAAAAATAAAATTTATCAATTAGATAATATAACTGAAAAATTAGAAAGTGAATATGAAAATTATTGTCTAGGACTAAGAATATGTAATTGTTAGGATTGCTTAGTTTCCCAAATTAATACATTAACAAAAGATAAAATTGATAATCTGATAAAATTAATAGAAAAACTAGAAGATGGTCCTTTAAGAAATAATTTTATCAAAAAATTAAATGAATTAATTACAAAAGAAGAACAAAAGCCTATAGAAATTAAATCAATAAGAATGAAATATGTATTTGAAAAATTCAAACAACCTATAATTACAATAAAAGATTTACAAGAAGAAATAAAGTATTAAAAATAGAAATACATGAATTAAAACAAAATCAAACAATATTAGAATTTAAAATACTTGAATTACAAGAAAAATCTTTATTAAAAGAACAAAATAATAAAATATCCAAAGAACAACAAACAAAAGATACATAAATCTTTAAAATGGAATTATTAACATTTATGACAGTAAGTAGATGGTATTGTGAAATAAGTTTAATAATAGAAAAAGAAACATTCAATATGATATCTTTAATAGATTTAGGAGCATATTATATACAAGAAGAAATTATACCAACAAAATATTATACAAAAACAATAAAAAAATTAGCCTCGGTTAATGGTTCAAAAAATGAATATACAATACAAGTTACCATATGCAAAAATTTGTAAAGATAATATATATTTTACTATATCTTTTGTATTGGTAAAAAATATGACAAATCAAATAATATTAAGAACACCATTTTAACATTATTATATCCATGTAATTTTTGTAATGAAAGAATTATTAGTCATGCAATAAAAGAAAAATAATAGAATTTAAATTTTTAAATGCACCAAAAATTAAAGAATTAAATAAGTTACAAGAAATTTCTATATCTCAATATTAACTGTTTATTGTTTTGCATAATGGAATATAAAGAATTTGGCAATGTAAAAAATTCTTGTTTTACCCCTTGAAAAAGATAAAAGTTTTAGACCACCCAGAAATACAAAAAATCAATTTATCTTACTCAATAATTTATGGAAAGCATACAATAGTTTACAAAAACTAAATTGCGTAAATGCTTTAGCCTATATATAGAGAATAATTTTTTAAAAAATATTTCTAACAAAAGTTTAAATTATTTAAATAAAATAATAAATATTTTTTATATTAAATAATTTATAATTTTTATTTTTAAATTTAAAATATTTTTCTATTAATTTTCATATTTCATCTCTATTATATATATATATATATATATATATATATATATATGTATATAATATTTTTTTTTCTTCTTCTTACCGTTCTAAGTTTTAGTTTTTTTTTTATTTCCACCTTCTTCGGCTGTAATTTAAGCATAATTATTCTTCAAATACGCCAATTGTATTAAGTGTATTACAAAAAATTTAATTTACCGTTAAAAATGACTTTTTGTCACTATTTCTCAATATGCTAACTTCGACATTTTAAACAAAATAAGTTTTTAAAATTAAATTATACAATTTCAAAATTATTTTTTGAAATAGACTTTCCCACCTTCAAGAATTAATTTTGAAATATTAATATTTTTAAAAAATAAGTTTCTAAAATTAGATTCTTAAAATAAAATTTTAAAATTAAAATAAATTATAAATTTATATTTTGACACTTCTGGAATTTAATTTTTAGAATTATTAACTATTTTTAGAAATAAATTTCCACAATCAAATATTTATGTTTCTATAAATAAGTTTTCAAAATTAAGATTTTACAATTTCAGAAATTAATTTATGGAATTATTAATTTTTTAAAAAATATTTTTCTAAAATTAAAATTTTATATTTTTGGAAATAAGTTTCCAAAATTAATAGTTTACATTTTTAAAAATCAAGAGCATGTTTAATTTTGACAGTTTATAGCATGAAATTAGTTTCTAGAATTACTTTTTCATTCTGGAAATTAATTTTTCGAATTATTAACGAATTTTGAAATAAATTTTTGAACTAAATTTGAAAATAATAAAAAAATGAAAAAGAACTTATTTTTGTATCATGAAAGATATTTAAAAAATCATTATTTTTTAATAGGATGCAAAAAAAAAAGAAGACAAAAAAAAACTCCCAAGCTGGTGCAAAACAATAATTTTCATTCGTTTAACACAGTGTTACCCGTTATGAAAAGGAGTGCCAAGAACAATAAAAAAAATTATTAAAACTGACGCAAACTAAATGTAAATGAATTTTTTATTGATATTTATATTTATTAAATCTGACCCAAAATAAATTTTAAAAATATTATTAAAAGCAAGTATGGAAAACGGAAAACACATCATTAATAGCCAAACTTCGACAATAATAAATTTATTATTATTATTATTTTTTTTTGTAAAAAAAATAAATTTGCACCACTACTTTATCTCTTTGACAGTTTGACTAGGAAAAACTTCGACAATAATAAATTTTATTATTAAATAAAATTACGATAAATTTATTAAATAAGCAACAAGAATTATTAAAAAAGAATAAGATTATTATTATTATTATTATTTAATAAAATTCACACAAATTTATTATTTTAATTTTGATATAATGTCAACACAAATATTTTTATACTCTAAATTAATTAAAAATTACCTTAAATATAATTATTCAAATGATTTTATAAAAATTAATAATTTTTAATTATATGGTATAATAATATAATTAAATTATAAATTTATTTATAATAAAAAAATGATAATTGGACTTAAAAGTGGCTAGGGGGTTGGTATGACAAAACCTTTCCACCCTTACCAACCCCATCACCATCGTCGATCGCCCAACCAACCAAACAACCAAATTTCGCAATTCATTTCTCACCAACCACCAATTTGTTCTTATTCAAACCCTCTTCAAAATTTGCATTTGGCGTCACACAATTAACAAGTGTTGCATTTTTCAGCACAACAATGGCTGGGGAACGCAGCAAGGTTTTCACTTTGGCCGAAGTCTCTCAGCACAACAATGCCAAAGACTGTTGGCTTGTCATTCATGGCAAGGTATTGCCTTTTTGCTTTGTGGGGTTTCCATTTTTCTTTCATTGTTTTGAGGTTCTTGTGTTTTTGAGTTGAGTGGAACCAGTTATATTTCAACCATTGGAGGTTCTTTTGAACTGGTTGAGATTCACGTGGTTTTTTCATTTTCTTTTTGTTAGAGCTACACTTCCTTAGAGGAGTAGGATTAGTTAGATCTATTTAAGGGCTGTGATTTTTTTATTTTATTTTATCTCCAGGCATGTAAAGTTTTTTTTTTTTTTGAAAATTACAGAAAAATTGCTAGTGCTTTTATTTTGTGTTTTGCAGCTAGCATTGTTTGTTTGAAGCATATAATATAAAGTGCTTCTTCCAAAGCATATTTTTTATTGCTGAAAGAATACTGAGTTGAAGTTGACCCGGTTACTGACTGATGGTTTTAGTTGTCTGAAGGCTATAATATTTTATTTTATGTTTTTTGAAGTGCAGTTTTTGAATTGTTAATCTGAATATTGTAGCCATATTTCACATTAGATTAAGTTTTTGAAATAGATTTATTGCTTTCTTTCTGATTAAATTAATTGATACCTACCTTCGTGTTCTGGATTGTGATTGAATGGTGGAATGTTGAGGATTTTTGGTTACCCTATGAAATAAAATTGAATTTGGGTGGAATATTTGACATATGGAGTGATGACTAATTAATGGTTAGGTATGGATGTTGACCCTGCTTTCATACTATACCTGAGTAATTCATTGTCTTGAAGGTTTTAAATTGCGGTTGTGGTTATGTCATAATCCCTTGAAAGTGCAAAAAGTTGCAGATAAGTGCAGCTCATGCGGTCGCAATGTGGTTGCATACCATAGATTATAAAATCCTTAATGTTTGGACCTGCAATTGTGGTTGTGGACTGCAATTTAAACCACTAGAGTAGTTTTGAAAAATAGGAGGAAGTAAGTATGTTTGTTTGCAATTTTTAAAATTTTTTTCTCTTTTTAGAAACTAAATTAAAAACTAAAATTACATGTATTTTTAGTTTTTAAAAAGAGAAAACTCTTTTAAAAATTGCAAACAAACATGCTTAATTTGTGCTTCTTTTCCTTCATGGTTAACTTGTAAACTCTGGAAATAAGAAAAATCTTCCAGATCTCTTGCATTGATTTTCTTTGTAATTCACATCTTTCAAGTTGCACATCCTGTTTGTTATACAGGAATAAAAAATGCTTTGGAATTGTGACTAGGATGTACTCACTCTTGAGTGACATTGTCTTTCTGCATGTCTCATTTATCAATTTTTTATGTCTTTCTCCATTGAAACACGCAGTCATGAGATGCAGAATGGTTGGAATTCATTTCTCATTCTCATAGATCATGATCAGGTGGTGAGTGTATGCTAGAGAGAATTGAGTCTTGTGCCAGTGGGGTTTAAGAAAATACCATTGTGCCATTTTATAGACTTTTTGAGCTTTTGAGGTAAATTAGAGATTAGTCAACTATTGTAGAAATTGGGAGTGCTGGGTTTTTGATATGCTAGTGGATTTGGAACCATGTCATGCTGGTGGCCTCTGTTTCTTTACCTCATCATATCTTTTTTCGTGCAGGTTTATAATGTGACAAAGTTCTTGGAGGACCACCCTGGTGGGGATGAGGTCCTGTTGTCTTCCACAGGTATCTAACCTTGTCTCTGAATGCACAGAGTGCATGTTTGATTGAGCTTCTTTTCAAGGAAATAATTGCTTATTTTTTGAATGGTCTTTCACAAAACTGCCAAAAACAAGCGATTATTTCCTGTAAATAAGCTAAACCAAACATGCACCTAATCTTTCATCATGCCTCATGATCTCAACAAAATGAGACTTTTGTAAATGTCTCAATTTGGTCCAAATGACTCGTGTTTGCAGGGAAAGATGCAAGCAATGATTTTGACGACATTGGTCACAGCACCAGTGCGGTAGCCATGATGGACGAGTTCTACGTTGGAGACATCGACACATCAACCATCCCCTCCAAGGTTAAGTACACTCCTCCAAAACAACCTCACTATAATCAGGACAAGACACCAGAGTTCATCATCAAGATTCTCCAATTTCTAGTTCCCTTGTTTATCTTGGGTTTGGCAGTTGGTATTCGCTTCTACACCAAATCAACATGATCATTTAAACTGCAAGAGCACATGAATATAGGCATTTGCAATAATTTGTTGGTGTTGAAAGACCCCATCTTGTTTTATTCTTCTGTGCTACAATTATGAGGGGTTGCTAGGATATGCCATATGACATTGTGCTTGTTTTTCAGTGTAATTTGTTGTTATCAGATTGCCTTTCTCTCAATGATTTGCTGAAGGAGCAGTTTTCTGCAGTTTAAACTTCGGAAATTTTTGGTGGTTCTCAATAAACTAATAACCTATCTTTTGAAAACATCTTGTTATTAAGTTTCATTTTCCAGCGTGAACTTGTGATCCTAATGGTTGTAAGAAACTTGTGATTTTTTTTTTTTCATTTATTTTCTTCCTCACTCATTTTAGTAAACTTCTGAATTACATTGGCATGCTCAATGAAGGATTTGATCCTCTTTGAATCTTAACACTCTCTTAAGAATCACAAAAGAAAACAAAGTAAAGGAACAAAAAATAAGCATACTATGCCAATAAAAGCCAGGATACATGTGTGTTTCCGGGATAAAGGGGATAAAGGAGAAGACATTCTTTGCAATAATGTATTTTATTTGGTTCCTTCTCAGCATGCTCTAGTCTCTTGAAGTTTGTTCTTTCTAGTGGATAATATAATTTGTATTTAACTCCTACAACAACTAAACTTTATTTTATTAAGTGAGGTTGATTATATGAATCTATAATGTAATAGAGCTTAGTCAAAAATTAAATTTTTAGACATTTGGTTGATAAAAATTGTTTTTGAATAAATTTATCTATTTTTTTAATATTTTTTTTCAACTTGTTTTCTACTAGATTAGAAGTCCTACTATCCACTGTCTTCACGTATATTACCATTTCTTATATAATATTCTTATGTATATCATTATTTCTTTTGTATTTAATCCTTTTAAAGTGAAAAATTTGTTGAAATAAAATGCTTTATCAACTTAACTCACTTAAATTAAGGTAAATATTAACTAGTGTTTTGGTTAAAAATTTACACTGCGAAGTTTTGCTAAAATTATTGTTAATACACTTATTTCATATCCTTAATATTATTTTTAATATTTTCTATTTCTTAGTCAGAATTTACAAATATTAACTAGTGTTCTGGTTAAAAATTTACACGTGCAAAGTTTTGCTAAATTTATTGTTAATACACTTATTTCATATCCTTAATATTATTTTTAATATTTTCTATTTCTTAGTCAGAATTTACAACTAGCAAGACCTTTAAATTAATTACAAATATGGTTTTAGTTGTTTAATTTCCACATTTTCATTTGATTTTATCCTTAAGCTTAAAAGATTTCATTCTAGGAATTGCTTTTATTTTTTAAGAAAAAAGTTCTATTTTTTGAACTTTGAGTTACGCATATTTTAAGTGAAGACTTAAAAGAACACATTTCTCTGGCACAGTTCTTTATTGACTAAAATTCATTAAATTTTAAAAATATATGAGTAAAAATTATTAAATTAGGAGTGAGACTCATGATTTTAAATAAATTTTAGCTTAAAATAAAAAGTATATTAAAGTGATAGCACATTTCCTTATGAGTGTTAAAATTGAACTAAATTATTTTCAAACTGCCAAACTGATCAAAATAAATAAATAAATTCAATTAAACCAAAATAATTAAGAACTGAAAAATCATTTTTTACTGTAATTTGATTTTTGTTTTCAGTTCTGATTGTTAAAATCGGATAAAATCAAACTGAACCATACTTGTATATTCATATATTAATTTTCCTATAATATTCCTGAATAAACAATATTTTTTCTTTAATTTTACTATAAATTACATAAATATGTGGTGCTTTTATCTATTCTAGACTTTTACCCTCTTAATATATTTTCTTTATTTTTTATCAACAAATTCATCAATTTTTTACTATTTTACCACTTTGATTAATGTCTCTTCTCTTGTTCTTTGTTTTTCTAACAATTATAAAAATAAAGTAAAAAGGTTTGAGTAAAAATTGATATAAAAATTAAATTTAGAAAACAAATGTTATGTAAAAATTGATTTAAAAGATTAGTTTAGTTTGACTTCAATATTACATTTAGTTTCGATGATTTTTTATATAAAAATAAAACCAAACGAAATGTAATTTGTTTATCTTTAAGCTTGAGTGTATGTTTTAATCATGTTAGATCTTGTATCTTTTTATTAAAATTTTCATGCAAATTGAGGTCCCATCTATTCCTTGAAACACCTAATTGAGACCAACAAAGAAAAAAGTGCTACAAGGTCGACGAATATTGTTAATTTAATGCATTTTAACCATACATATAATAATAAAAATATATACATTATAGATGGATTTATAGGCCCTCTCCTAATTCTAAAGAGGATTCTAAGAGGTTTTATTTATTATATATTTTTTGTTTGGACACTTTTTTTTTCCTTCCACTACTACGATTACTATAATATCCTTTTTTTCTTTAAATAATTTCCTTTAAATAATTTACATTATTAAAATATTATTAAAAAAATTAGTAATAATTTGTATAACTTTGCAAAAATGGTACAATATGGGAATACCAATTAATAAAATTTAGCAAATTTATCAAATTCAAAATTTGTTTATCAATGAAATAAGATACATCAAAAGATTTATACATCTATTACATTTAATTTAATTATATCTGAGCAGTTCCTTTTCTATAATCTTTGACGAGTATGACCTAGAATGGATCAACCATCTCTGTCTCCTTTCTTTCATTACTTGAAAATATTAGTAAGGGTGAGTATTTCTCGTCTCACTAAGTCTCTTTTATTATAAATTATCTTAAAAGAACTAAAGTTATTGCCTAATATCCTATTCAAATTCATTACTAATAGTGAACAACTTATATTGAAACTTATCATATCCAAGCACATGCAATAAGGCAACCATCAATTAGAGCATATACAACAATTCAATCATTATACATACATTTCTATATTGACTTGTATGTTATTATACACGTATCATATCATTTTAATTAATATGTCACAATACAAGTGTCCCAGTCACACCCGTCGATGTACTACAACATATATTATAACAACATACGATACATATATTATAATCATACATATTCTATACCATATCACATCTATAACACTTTTCATAATAATTGTCCCTGGGAGCCCTTGAAGACTTCCTAGTATGGATAGCTGTTGGTTAGCCGAAATATCACAGATACACGTGTGCCGTCTCGGCCCTTTTTAGCAAAGGTATAATCAGGAGTTTCATCAGGAAATGAGGGTGTGGCCTGTGAATGTCTATTTTTCATCAAATTATTATGCACCCTTTTATCATTAGCATTCACCATCCTCATTTCCTCAAGATTTTCCAAATCTTCTCCGAACTCTATACCTCCAGTGTATCTCTATACTATCTATACTTGTTCTTTTTCTCTTTCTTAGCATTTCTCATTTCCATATTCTTTTATCAATCAACATGTTATAATACGTGAGCTCTGATTTATATAAATCCGTGAATCACAATATATTCTATAATACACCTTCAACGTACTATAATATATATCGTAATTACCCTTTCAAGTAATTCTAACTCACGCCTCATAATCATGCATCTCATTACTTCTCTTTCATACATCACATACTTTCAAAATCAATCAACATTTCAATTATTCATGTGAACTTAATTAATCTGAATACATTCTAACTATCAATTCATATATATACTTATTGCATCATGTCAGTCTAACATAGAAAGTTGTCAGTACAATATATTAGTCTACCACAAATCTCACAACATACAACCAAACAATATGCTGAAGGTTGGACACCTTCAGACTCAATCCAACTCGTGCAATTTTATAATAATTCACCAAAGGTCATATTTTCTCAGTGTCAATAGAATCTTCTAACTTAGAGTTCAGTATTTTCTGTCTTTTATTACTTAACTCCTATACATCTCAAGTAACATAATTATAAATTTTCTTAATGTTGTTGTAGCTCATGACTTTTGATAAAAAAAAATTGATTATAGTAATTTCAAATAAACTCATAACCTTTCTTTATACTAAAAAAATCCACTTTTACCATATAGTTTTATAAATTTTTTTATAGATTATTACTAAATAGGTTGCTTTAGCTCTCATGGGGTCACTACATATAAAACTAAAAGTATGGCTCAGAAATACTCCCCTTACCTGGAAATGGATTTCAAAAACTATGTTCTTCGTGTGCTGTAAAGAGAAATTCCACGTCTTGATCTAACATACTACCAAAGACTAGAGTTATTCTTAACATCACAAGGTATATTTCTATTATAGAAAAGAGAAAAGAGAAATAGGAAGGAGATCCAAGGGATGAGCTCTAGAAACTTACTTAGATCCGAGAAGAACGAATATTTGAACTCAAATCTGAAGGAGATCCAAAGTTATTGGAAGTTTTCTCTGAGAAGGGAGAGGGAGAAAACGAAGAAGATGGAGAGGGATACGTGATTTGGTTGAAAATTAAGATTTTAGGACGAGAGTTCTTTAAATATCTCTTAAACTCGCGACTTTCTTCCTTTGTTGTCTGTCATTCTAACTACAGTGAGAGGGCTCCAGAAGGTTCAATTTTCACCGTCTCATTCTTGCTACAGTGAGATTTGTCTCGCTACAGCGAGATATTCTACAGTTCACATCAGTTAAACACTTCTAATTTCAAATAACATGCACAAACAACTAACATTAATTGCAATAATTATAAATTACAAAATGAGAATGTTACAATTACTCTCCTTCTACTTTTTTTTTCTATAATCTCACCAAGTTTTCTTTAATTATGCTTTTTTTTTTCTTATTTTAAAGTTTGTTAAGATCATTCTTAACTTTGATTCATGACAAAATATACCTTTATTGGTGTTTATTTAAAGTCTTACTTTACTATTTTAGTACAAAATTTTATTTTTAATATTGTTTACTTATTTTGAGTGTGCATGCTCTACTATGTAATGATTATGTATTAAGGTATTATTGTATCACTCTTTGAGCATTATAATATTGGATTATTTTAATAATTCATGTAGTGGCTTATGTAACTTATAATTCGACTACAATTAAAAATTTAAAGTGATGATTGTTAAATATAAAATATTAGAATTGTAAAGGATATAATTAGAAATACAATTATGAGGAAACTCTATCTTACGATCTTACTGTCTTACGGTATTCAAAATAAAAGAGTGGTTATCAAAATAAGAGTTACATTAATTCTCTATCTTACGGTCTTACGGTAT